AAAAAAGAGAAGGAAACGAGCCGCTTACGATTTACTATCATATCAAAAATCATCCTCATGTTGATCGACCGTGATATTAATATTAAGTTCAACATCAAAGCATCTCGATTTCTTCAGTTTTATTGGGAAATATATTAGGAACTATTTCAATATTAAGTTCATCATCAATGCTCCAATGTTCAATGTGTTACCTACTAGGTATAAAAATACACGAGAATCCTACGAACTGATATGAATTTTTTCAGTTCTTACAAATAATCTAAAAAAAAAAAAATAGAAAATTATAATCGAACTGAAAAATAAATTACAACAAAATAAATTAAAACTTAAAACGGAAAGATTTTAGCCGAGGCGAGTAAAACTCTTTCCGCAAGAAGAATACGCCCCGTGTGGCAGCTAACGGTTTAGGCGTAACTTCCCCAAAGATACAACGGCAAACGTCTCTAAATCTGTAGCACACCAGATTTACGAGCTCCGGCGAACTGGAACGGAGTCGAGAATTGAGCACTTAAAATATGAATAAAAATATCTCTCTGATAATATTTTCTCTATTTTTATCAGTAATATTTTGATCCCTCAAATATTCATTTGTACTGAATATTTTTATTCTTACTTTTCTTCTTTTCTTTCCTTTTCCTTTTGTTACACTTTCATTTCTTTTCTTGTTCCTCTTCTGCCAAGTGCAACTCCATCTATTTATAGATGAATCCATTACCATAATTAATTCAGTGGTTGAACTCCCCACGCATAACAATTGAAGTGGTTAATGAATTGGTTGGACATTAGTTGGCAAAGTGGACTTTCATCATCAATTGAGGTGTATTATATTAAGTAGGAGGAATAAGAATCAAGTTGTTGTAAGAATAATAGTTATAAAATTAATTTAACACTCATTATTACAATCCCCCACATGAGTGTAAATTAAATATATATAATATTGTGCTCAATCCTCACAAACTCTATTGCATCAGAAAAAGGTAGCTTTGGGCTTTGAACCTCTCATAGTTAACATCATCGGATGCACTGGCGGCCTAATGGACATAATGCCTTGAACTATTCCTCCATAGTGTACACCTAGACAATGACATTCACACAATAGAATCTTAACTCCATTCCGTTCTATCGTTGTGTCCGTTTTGGCCATGGACATCACTTTGGATTCATAAGTGTTTACATTTGAAGCGGCCCACACTTCACACTTATATAGGTGACCTCCCTATCAAGAGTATCCTATATTACTCCACCTTTACAAGGTTAGGGATTCATTAAAAGTCCACATGACTTACCCTCACCACAATCAACAGGTCATCTTGCACTTGGAGTGCTCAAGGGAATAGCTTAGGACATTCATATGTTCCAAGTGCTCAACTGAGTTTTCATAGCTTAGTTTTCCCTTTGAACCAAGTTCGTGGGATCTCCACTTAGCATGGTAGAGTTACCACTATGATCATTCTTTAATTGTGGATTTTTAAGCCCATTCCCTCTAGCAAAACTACCAATTGATATCTATTCAATCCTTTCGTCAAAGGATCAGCCAAATTTTCCTTAGACTTCACATAGTCAATGGAAATAACACCATTTGTGATCAATTGGCGTACGGTATTATGTCTACGACGAATATGTCTAGACTTACCATTATACAAGTTGCTTTGCGCCCTACCTATAGCAGCTTGACAATCACAGTGAATCATCACAGGCGACAAAGTCTTATCCCAACATGGAATATCGGATAAAAAATTTCTAAGCCACTCGGCTTCTTCACCAGCTTTATCTAAAGCTATGAACTCCGATTCCATCGTTGACCGAGCTATACATGTTTGTTTTGTGGATTTCCACGAAACTGCACGTCCTCCAATACAGAATACATATCCGCTAGTGGAGCGAGAATGTCTCGAATCTGATATCCAGCTTGCATCACAGTACCCTTCAAGTACGGCTGGGTATCTCGAGTATTTTAGCCCGTATTCAAGAGTGTACCTTAAGTACTTAAGTACCCTTCTCAAAGCATTCCAGTGTTCATGACTGGGATTGCTCGTAAATCTACTCAACTTATTCACTGGGTAGGCCAAGTCTGGTCGTGTACAATTCGTCAAGTACATCAGACTTCCTATTATCCGTGAATATTCCAACTGAGCCATTGGTTGACCTTTATTGGCTACCAGATTTATACTGAGATCAATGGGTGTCTTACACCTAGACTGTGCATCGTCATAGGTATCAAATTTCTTGAGCACTTTCTCTACATAATGAGATTGTGACAAGACAATTCCATCTTGGGTTCTGATAATCCTTATTCCAAGAATAACATCAGCCAAACCCATATCTTTCATGTCGAAATTTCTTTTCAACATTCTTTTCGTATCCATGATCACTTCATGGCTACTCCCCATGATCAACATATCGTCCACATATAGACATACAATCACAAATGTATTTGATGTACTCTTGACATAAACACATTTGTCACATTCGTTGATTTTGAAACCATTTGACAACATCACGTCATCAAATTTCAAATGCCATTGTTTCGGAGCTTGTTTCAGTCCGTACAATGATTTGATCAATCTACACACCTTTCTCTCTTGTCCAGGTGCAACAAACCCTTCAGGTTGTTCCATGTATATTTCTTCTTCCAATTCACCATTTAAAAATGCCGTCTTGACATCCATTTGGTGAATCTCAAGATTGTGCAAAGCAGCAATCGAGAGAAGCACTCTTATCGACGCTAAACGCGTAACTGGTGAATAGGTATCAAAGAAATCATACCCTTCTTTTTGTTTAAAGCCTTTGACCACCAAACGTGCTTTAAACTTATCAATCGATCCATCAGCTTTATATTTCTTCTTTAGGATCCACTTGCATCCTAAAGGTTTACAACCATCAGGGAGATCAACCAACTCCCAAGTATGGTTCTGCATAATGGACTCGATTTCGCTATTTACAGCTTCTTCCCAGAGTGGTCCATCTGGGCTGGACAGAGCTTCCTTAAGGGAACTCGGTTCATCGTCCAACATATACGTAATAAAATCAGGTCCAAACGTTTTCGCCGTTTTTAACCTTTTACTACGTCTCGGTTCTTCATCAGTACCCTCTGGTACAGAACCACTAGCAGTTTCATACGTTCGTTTATTAGAACTAGATTCTGCTCTTTCCTTTAGAGGAAAAATATTCTCAAAGAATATAGCATTCCTCGACTCAATCGTGGTACCAACAGATACCTCTGGATTTTCTGATTTATGAACCAGAAATCTATATGCTGTACTATTGTACGCATATCCAATAAATACACAATCGACCGTCTTTGGCCCGATTCTCATTTGTTTGGGTTCCGGTACTGAAACCTTAGCCAAACACCCCCACACTTTTAGGTATTTATAAGACGGCTTACGATTTTTCCACATTTCGTAAGGAGTCTCATCTTTCCCTTTAGGTGGTATTTTATTCAGGATATGATTTGCTGTTAAAACAGCTTCCCCCCACATGTTTTGTGGTAATCCTGAATTTATCAACATGGCATTCATCATTTCTTTTAACGTACGGTTCTTGCGTTCAGCAACACCGTTCGACTGTGGAGAATAAGGGGCAGTCGTTTGATGAATTATGCCATATTCGGAACATATTTGTTCAAAAGGAGCTACATACTCCCCACCCCTATCACTTCGGATTATTTTAATCCTTTTGCCGAGTTGATTTTCAACTTCGGTCTTATAGATTTTAAATGCTTCCACAGCCTCGTCTTTGCTTCTTAATAAATATAAGTAGCAAAACCTTGTGCAATCATCGATAAAAGTAATAAAATACTTTTTACCTGTTCTTGTTTGCACACTTTTCATATCACATACATCAGTATGGATTAAGCCTAATGGTTCAGTACACCTTTCCACCGAGTGAAAAGGCAACTTAGCCATTTTTGCTTCAATACAAATTTCACATTTCTTATGTGATTCAATTTTAGAATTAGGAATTAATTCTAATTCATCAACCGTTTAATTGCATTTCGATTTACATGTCCCAATCTAATATGCCATAAATCAGAGCACTCAACGGTATAAACAGAAATAGGCTTTTCATTATTATTTAAAACGGTTACACGGCTCACAGCCATTACATTCATTTTAAACATACCCTTGTCGAGATAGCCACGACCAAGGAATGTTCCAAACTTGCTAAGAACAAATTTCTTTGTATCAAATACCAGCCTAAATCCATGCTCAACAAGAAGAGATCCGGAGACCAAATTCTTGCGGATGTCTGGGACATGCAGAACATCCTTAAGCTTCAACTCCTTTCCAGAAGTTAGCTTCAGCACCACAGTGCCCACTCCAGCCACATCAGCCGTGGCAGAGTTTGCCATGTAAAGTTTCCGACTCTTAGCAGGAGTGTATTCAGAGAACACCTCCTTATCGGAACACACATGACGAGTGGCACCAGTATCGATGTACCACTCCCTTGGGTTATCCACCATATTGGCTTCAAACACCACAGCCGACATATCAAAGTCGGTCAGTTCACCCGGCACAAGGCCGTGTTCAGCCACAAGAGCACTCGGTTTACATTTCTTTGGCCCAGCCTTCTTTGGCCTCTTGCAGTCTTTAGCCATATGGTTCGGCTTTCCACAATTATAACAAGTTCCGGTAAACTTCCAAACCTTGGCAGGCTGCTTCCCTTTGTCTAGGGACTTCCTTTTGCTCGAGTTGCCTTGCTCTATCAAGTTAGCACGAGCCTCCATCATCGGAATTTTTCCCGATGAATTACGATTGTCCTCCTCAATACGAAGACGAACAATCAAGTCTTCAAGACTCATCTCCTTCCTCTTATGTTTGAGGTAGTTCTTGAAGTCTTTCCAACCCTGCGGCAACTTTTCAATCACGGCCGCAACTTGGAATGACTCGCTCAGAGACATTCCTTCAGCATGGATATCGTGCAAGATAAGTTGAAATTCTTGCACTTGGGACATGACGGTCTTAGAGTCGA